TATATATATATATATATATCTGTGTATGTGTGTTCAACATGTGTATTTATCCATCTATTTATCTAACTAACTAAACCAAATAACTAAACTATCTCTCTCTTTCTTTATCTATTTATTTATTTATCTATCTAATGTTTACAATTACAAAGATAAAGTAAAAATGTGACTCTTCACATATTTTTCTTCTTTTCTTCTTTTCTTTTCTCTTTTTATTCTTCCTCCTCTGTAGCACACCTGTGGAATAACTTTCTTTCACAGCGGTGGTATTAAATCAAAAAACAAAAAAAAAAAAGAAGGAAGGAATTAAATAAAATAGCAACAAGGCGAAGAAAGCAGAACGAACGCTGTCTTAACAGAAAAAGAGAAGAAATCTAAAAAAAAAAGTCAAAGAAACAACAACAATAAAGGAATCAACAAAGAAACGAGTGCGTGTATATTTTTTTCCTTCCCTTTTATCTATTTATCTATCTATATCTCTGTATTTGTGTGGGTTTACTGAGAAACGGTGTGTTACGATAAGGCGAGAAGGAATCTAAATCCTAAACGCCTATCTCTATAGTAACCATTACAACAAAAGGGGGGTCAACTCAATATATTAACAAGAAACAGCGAAAAAAAGAATCACCCTTATCAAGAGTAATTCTCATACCAACATAATAATACAGACTATACACACGTATATATATATATATATATATACCTCAGCAAAGAGAAAAAGAGAAAGAGAGAGAGAGAGGAATAATTTATCATTCTGAGAATTATTCCATTATATCATGAGCAAGTCTGCGGTATCACGTCCACGTGTGTATGTACGCATTCGTCCATTAAATGATCGTGAAAAACGTGAAAGTAACGGTGAACTTGTCTGCCGTGGTGATCCCCGCTTACCAGACACCCTCTTTCTTAAAAAAGATGACGACACACCGGAACTCCAAACCCGATTTGATCATGTCTTTGACCGTGAGGCCACTCAAACTACAGTCTTTGATACGATTGGACCTGAAGTGTTGGATACTCTCTTCAGTGGATATAATGCCTCTGTCTTTGCGTATGGGCAAACCGGCAGTGGTAAGACTTTCACAATGGAGGGAAATCGTGGAAAGGAGGATTTGTATGGAATTACACCACGACTTATTCGAGCGGTGTTTGAACGGTTTGAGGCTAATAAAGATATTACAGATGCCGTCTGTGAAGTGAGTTTGGTACAGATTTATCAAGAGAAAATTCAAGACTTATTGGCAGGTCAAAAACAATTAGATATACATATGGATCGTACTGGACAATATGTAGCTCGGGATGCCACCTGGGCACGTGTACGGAGTTTAGAAGAAAGTATGAAAATGTATACGAAAGCCTCTGAGATGCGAGCGACTTCAGCAACGGAGATGAATCTTGTCTCTTCACGAAGTCATATGATTACAATGTTAAAACTTCAATGGGATGAACCTTCACTTCCGGGTTCACGTGCACAATTAAATCTTGTGGATCTTGCGGGATCTGAACGATTGGCACAGTCTGGTGTTACTGGTGGTCATATGTGGGAAGCTATTCATATTAATAAATCCCTTAGTGCACTTGGAAATGTCGTTTCAAAACTTGTTGAACAGGCAAAGCATAAAGGTCGTCGTATTCATATTCCATATAAAGACAGTAAACTTACATATCTTCTACAATCCAGTTTGGGAGGATCTAATCTTATTCACTTTATATTGGCTGTCTCTTGTAGTGTTCTCTGGAGAGGTGAGACGAATTCTACGATTGAGTTTGGTAAACGAGCTCTACAATTGGTATTACGTCCAGTTCGAAATGCTATTGATTATACACGTTTGGCGGAAATGGAAGAAATGATTGAACGTATGCGTTCTCATATTGCCAGTTTAGAACAAGAATTACGTGATAAACGAAATAATGAAGCGGCTGAATTCTTAAAACTTAAACAAATTCCACAAGATGGAGATGAATCTCATACACACTATAATCAACGTCGAAATAAAAGTAGACAAAAGAAGAAACTTAAGGTACAAACAGAACTTGCACGTATTATGGCAAATTTACCTGAAACCTTTGATGATTTAACTTCACATTGTATTTTATTCCCAGAATCAAAGGCAAGTTTTCGTGAATTAGGAGGTTTACAAAGACTTGTACATTTTGTGGATCGATCTACTTCTACATTTTACCGTTCTAATGCGGCACAAACCATTGCTAGCGTTATAGATGATGCTGGTCGTGATATGTTTGTGGATATTGGTGGATTGGATGCTCTTACACGATTACTACAAGTAAAGGAAGAACGATGTAAAGAAGCGGCATGTGTGGCTCTTGAAGCTGCTTGTCGTGGATGTCTTAAAAATAAAATGAAACTTTCTCCTGTTGTATATGCAGAATTAGTAGAATTAATCTACAATTATCCAAATCAACAAGTTCAAGAAGCTGCTTGTACAGCTGTGGCTTCTATAGTAGATCTTTATTCTGATGCCAGACGTTACTTTGAACGACTTGATATTGTTCCTAAACTTCTTGAAACGATTCGTAATACACCAGAAGAAGTTGTCAATCTTACAAAGTCAGCAACAAATTGTGTGGGTCGTTTGGCTCATGGTGATCCAGAGATGCAGCAATTAATTGCCTCTTTTGGAGGTATTGATTTATTAATTGATGTTTTATTTAGTCCAGCAGGAACCCGTGATCATCAGGTACCTATTCTTGCCTCTTATGCACTTGTAAACTTATGTTGTAGTAATGAACAGAATCTTGATATTGCTCAAGATAATCCACGATATGGAGAAGTGAAATTTCGATTACTGGAGGGTCTTGCAAGGGCTTTTGGTATTAATACTGCTCGTGAAGGATATGGACGGGCAACCGCACATGAACGGGAATCACCCTTTCCTTATCATGGAGTAACGATTGTGGAGAAATGGTCAGCGACTTCTTCTGGTGGTCGTCCAATATTTTCAACTTTTATGGATAATCCACAGTTTTATTTATATGTAACAGAAACAACGGATATTGCTTTTATGATACAAGATGTACTCTATGAATCTCGTATGCTTAAAAAGAAAAAGAATAATACAGTTTATATGGGTATTGCACTTTTTGAAGGAGATCCAGAGCTTGCGAAAGCAGGTCTTAAACAATTGGATTTTCATGGACGTATGGTAGAAATAGGAAAATATACTTCTAATTGTGAAAATGTTCTTCATTGTACTTTACAACCAAGTGAAACCCCATATGTGGTGGTTCCTTTTACAAGTCAAAGAGGTCGACAAACAGAATTTGCACTTTCCGCATTTGCGGATAAACCAATTGAATTAACAGCTGTTCCTGAACAAGTGGGTTGGGTACGTACCGTGATAGATGGATGTTGGACAGAATTTACAGGTCGTGGTGGAGATGGATTTGAATGGAGATGTAATTCACAAATTCGTGTTTTACCCAAAGAAGATTGTCGGGTTGTATTTGTACTTTCTTATCTTTCTCTGGATCGTCAACGGGTACATTCACGAGATGAAGAAGGTGAGGAACAAAATATGCGACCTCGATTACATGGAAGACTTTTTACTAATTTTGCAGCAGAGAAACGTTATCTTAAAGCACTTGTACCTTTACCACAAAAATCTACTTTTGTGGCTAGTAACAGTTTTGCTAGTAATAGTTATATTACTACATCTGCAAACTTAAAAGCAGGAGAAGCTTATGTCTATATTCCTTTTACAGAAACTCCATATGAAGATACATGGAGACTTTCTGTTTATTGTGATACAGATGATGTTTCCATTGCCCCTGTTGAGGGAACTAAAGATGAGTGGTATTGTACAACATCATCGGGAACATGGAATGGTAAACCTGTTTCTGTACAAGTAGAAACAAAAGGAAAAATGGTGGCTGTTGCTAGTAGTCCTGGTGCTTTTCTACGTGTACGATTACTTAACGTAAAAGGAAAAAAATTGGAAGGTATAGATGCTTATTGGAATGCTGAGGCTTCTGTAGAATATAAGAGTCAAGGACCTGTTGTAGTTCAAGTAGAAGGAATGATGCGAACTGAAAAAGGTCAAGAAGCGGCTCGAGAGTTAAAGTTTGATATATTTGTATTTACAGAGAATAAATGTACGGTTCAACATGTGGATTTCCCTGCCGCCCCAAGTAGTCTTCCACATCCCACTAAAAGTACTTCAGAAGATCTCTTAAAGTATCCAGTTGAGGTTGTAGACGCCGATGCCCCATTTGCCACCATTGATCAAAGTGAAGATGAGGAGGATGACTTCCTCGAAGAAGAAGATGATGATGCCGTGGAGAGAGAAGCTGAACTGCGGCAAACACTTGAATTACGAAATGAGGAAAATGCACAATTGATGAATCGTATTGCGGAACAACAACGGGAATTAATGGAATTACGACATATACAAGAAAAGAATGCCGCCCTCAATGCCACTTTAACAGAGTCTACCTCAAAGGAAACCAGCAATGGGAAACGTAAAGAAAAGGACTCCCAACAACATACACGCAGACAATCCGTAAAACGTGGAGATCGAGCCACAAGTGCACGGAGTACCGCAGCGGAGTCCACACCTTCCGCTGCTCCCGGTACGAATAATAATAATAATAATAATAATAATAATAATAATAACACAACTGCGAATAAGATGACTACTGGAGGAGAGACACAGGGTCGATTGAGTGAATTACCAACACGCACGATGAAGGAGGCGATAGAGTACACACTCATTACACTGAACTCACTGGAGCGGCGTACAGATCCCCCAACAGCGGAGGAGTGGCCGGAGTTAAAAAATGATTTACGGGAATTACAGCGGCGATTATTTTTTTCACTTCAGAAGGATTCCCCCGCATAGAGATGATATGGAAATGATGTTTACAAAGGAACAATGAAGATGAAGAAGAAGAAGAAGGGAAGTGATGAATGGATGAAGTGAGAGAGTGAGAGTGAGTGAATGAGTGAAGGAAATGAAATAATGTACTCAGAGGGCTAGTATAGAGAATATCACTGGTCAATGAAAAAGAAACCAATGCAACAAAACACAAAAAAAAAAGAAAAGAAAAGAGAAGAGAAGAGAAGAAAAAAAAAAAAGTACGAAGACGAAAAACAACAAAAAAAAAACCAAAAAAAAAAGTGAATATGGAAAAAAAAAAGAAACAAAGAACGCAAAGAATTATGTAGAGAGGGTTTAGAAGTGCTAAATTATATACACCTTCTTCCCTTACTTTTTGCCTATCAACATTTATATGAAGATTTATTTGAATATACAAGCTCGAATATTTCCTTTTCCTCCCCCCTTCTTCAAGAACGAAAACAAATAAACAAACAACGACTACAATTATTACAACCAGAGAAAGTTACGGGTCCCCCTTAGAGTGATATAAACAAAAAAAAAAAAATGTACATATATTATATTTACATGCTTAACAAGCGGTATCGCGAGCTGCTTCTGCTATTGTGGAAAAGTGATATGATTGAATTCCTGCACAAATATACAGTAAAGAGTAGCAAAAACAACGAAAATAAAACCAAAAAAAAGCTCAATGTTTATAAAAAAAAAATAGTGAAGTGGAGACGAAAGTAGAAAAGAAGTCTCTCTTTTCGTGCTTATTGAAGATGATCTCTCGTGCTTTTATTTTGTTTTTGTTTGCATACATATATGTAATTATATATATATATTTATATACATTGGAAATATGTATACATATATATATATACATATTATTTTTTTTTCTTTCTACTCTTTTTTTTTTTTTAAATAATCTAGTACCGAACTATCATTATCATCATTGCTGTATAGCTGATATTGACTGTGGTCGAGATTAAAAGGGAGTGGGGGTGAGAGAGGGGGAAGTCCCTGCGATCAGCTAGAATTTTATTCCTTCTTTAAAAGAAAAAAAAAGAGAAATTTAATAAACAAAAAAGAAAATATTCAAAGAACAATAACAATAATAATAAAGAAAAGGAAGTCATATTATAATTATTATTAATTATAAGAAGGAGGAGGAGGAGAAGAAGAAGAAGAGAAAGGAATGCGTTCCTGTCCTATTTTTCGATATGACTCCTTCACTTCCTTTCGTAGTGATCTCAAGCCACTCTTCTCATCATTGAAAACAGTGGAATCGGTACGCCAGGCGGTACGTCGTCATGTTTGCGATGTCCCTCGGCGATATAAAGAGACATCTTCACAGCGGGCGAGTTGGATTCGTGGGAATATTAGTCTTCTCTTTGAAGAGGCACGTAAACATGGAAGTTACACAGTAGCACGGGCAGCGGTGGAAGTTATTCTTGAACACCAACAACAATTGATAATGGAACCGGCATGGGTAAAGAATGCTCTTGCAGCTTGTCGAAGTACAGAGGAAATACGAGAAATGGAATTATTACTACAAAAACAACAACAACAACGACTTGGAGTTGGTAGTGAAGAAGGTATGATGACAAGTCCAATGGCTCTTACGAATAGTTCTGAAGATATATTGCCACCAGCGTTAATGGAAGAAGAAGATGAAGGTAATGATAATAGTGATAATAATAATAATAATAATAATAATAATGCTCTTATGGCTGCTGGATATAGTGGTTCAACCTTAGCAGCCATGCGATATCGACGAGATGATCTTGTTACGGCTCCGAATGTTTCTTTCTCTCGTTACTTTACACATCAGGGAATTGTTGTGAATGATGCTGAAGTAATGCAACTCTTTAAAGCTATGCGTGGTCGACAACCAGTGGCTTTTCGTGTACATACTTCACAAATGTATGGACCGGCAGTAACGAGTCTTTTACATGAAAGAGAAGGTATTAAACCTTTATCATATCTTCCTTCTATGTGTGGAGCATTTACCATGTTAGATACACCAGATACACCACATAGTGTACTCCTTTCTAATAGACAATTACTTCGATCACTTTCAAATGAACGTTTAATTTCTTTTCAATCAACATCAAGTATGTTACCCGTAATACTTCTTGACCCACAACCAGGTGAATCCGTTTTAGATATGTGTGCATCTCCAGGAAGTAAGACCTCTCTTATTATAGACTACACATCTGCTTTATCTTTGCAATGTGAACAATCAACATTAAAGAATATTGGTTGTGTTGTAGCAAATGATGCTATTTCCTCTCGTTCTCGTCCACTTGCACAACGTTTACAAAGTTTTTCCCCTGCTATTGCGGTAACCCAACTTCAAGGTCAATCCTTTCCAACACAATCCATAACAACAGGGGGTGTTCGTTACGATAAAGTATTAGTCGATGCTCCCTGTTCTGGTGAGGGTCGAATGCAGCGGGATGCGATCTCGTGGCGAATGTGGCATCCATTAAAAGCAGTGGAGTTCTTTCCATCGCAAGTGGCATTATTACGACGAGCTGTGGAGTTGTGTGCGGCGGGTGGACGAATTGTCTACGCCACTTGTACATTAAATCCATTGGAAAATGAAGCGGTACTGGCTACTGTATTAGCAGATGGGGAAGTGGAGTTAATACGACCACCGCGTTCGTTAATAGAGAATAAAGATTGGAAATTTAGTCGTGGTTTACGACGATGGTCAGTTCCCTCACGTGCTGGTGGATTTCTACACAGTTTTGAAGAGGGAAAAGCCAAGGGAGAAGCCGTTAGGCGAGAACTCTTTCCACGTGAGGACTGTGAGGCTCTACAGACTTCATTGGAGTCCTGTTGTTTGCGTGTACTTCCACATCTTAACAACGGGGCGGAGGGATTCTTTTTTGCGGCTCTGCGGAAAGTACGTCAAAATTCAAAGAGCTTTACTTCTCAGACACTTCGAATAGAGGAAAAGGCAAATCTTCATAGTAACAGCAATCTTATCAAGAATAATAAACAGAATAACCATCTATTACCCTTTTCAACAGATTCTATTTTACATACACATGGTCTTGTACGCCTTGCAGGTGGGAATATGCTTCTTCAACGTCATTTAAGTTGTTTTTTCAATAACAATACATCAGAGGTGGAGAAGTTCTTAACAAGACATAATCTCTGCGCAGCTTGGCGGGAAAATCAAGGTCTATTGCTGGTTTCAGAGAGTACATGGAGTCATCTCAAGGCAATTCCCTCTTCATCTTCTACATCATTATCATCATTATCATTATCATCACATTCTTCATCATCTTCTTCTTCTTTTCCTTCTTCCACTAACGACGCTTTGCTTGAAATTGGTGTAACCGTTATTAATGCCACTACAGGTCAATTAACGGAGAGTGGTGCATTTCATCTTCGGCCTCATGCCACTTCTCGAGTATTGCAACTTCCACTCTCAGAATTGCAATGGTTATTATCTCATCAATTACTGAAAGTAACAGAACTGCAAGAGGATCCAAATGAACTCGCACGACGTATTGTAGCAGGAACTATTCCTGCAAATCAAACCGGAAAAAGATTAGAAAGACAAACCCCACTTCCATGGGTGGCACAACTTCTTCATACTATTGGACAAGATGAAGGAAATTTCATTGTGAGTTGTTTACCTTCTTCTATACATATGGATAAAAATGAAAGTCATGATTTAAATGCATTAACCTCTATTAGTATTCCTGTTACTGTGCAAAAGTCAACTGTTGTGGAGTTACGACTATCACTTTCACACAGTGCTCGCCAGCGGTGTATGGCTGTTATTGGACGTCTCATTGCGCACGCAAAACGGCCCCATGCGGCAACTTCGGAAAGAAAACATATGCAGATGAGTGCAGAATATAATGTGAGTGCGAAGATGGAAAGTGCGAAACTGGAAGGACGACCACTGACAGTCCAACAACAAGAGCGGAAACTCTTTTCATCATCATCATCATCATCATCATTATTGCTTGGTACTACTACTACTACTACTACTACTACTGTTGGGGAAATACACCAGAGGAAGCAGGAATCAAAGGAAGAGAAACAAAGATACTTTGAAATTTAAACAAAAAATCGTTCTCGTATGCGTTTTAAACTAATTT